ATTCTTTGTAAACCCTAGAAATGGTTGTGCGTGAAAATCCCAGTAACTGAGCAGATTGTGAAATACTCAGACCGGCCCGTCTGGCACCATAAACCATGCCACGCTCAAAATTGCTTAAATCACCTTTCTTTCCCATTCTGACATTGAGTTTGGAGTTCAGGAGATTGTCTTGACCAGGACCACACCCCTAAATGCATTGAAGCAACTACCATGTGATTGGTTGATTAGATAATTGCATTAATGAGAAATTGAACAGGTGTTCCTAATAATCCTTTAGGTGAGTGTATATGCTTTAACATAAAAGCATATACCGTACATAGTGAATTAAAAATTTAACATTTTAGTAGGCAATTAGTAGAGGCTGTAACATATCACAAGGTATCACATCAGTTTGTGGTAGGAATCCTGGGTACTTTAATTGGGCTAGAAACTAAGAAACATAGAAAAGGCTGTTTGCCAATGAGGCTACAGCAAGCTGAACTGCAGGTACGTGCAAAAGAGGATGCTGAGGGTGCCTGAGCTCCTGCCTGTTTTGCCCAAACAATTTAATGTGAACTTGTGCATGAGCTTCAATGGTACAGTGTCCCTTTTTTGACCTTTAAGCACCTGTCCATCAAAAAGTATCTGCACAGCCCTACTGAACTGTACTCATCGAACTCTGTAAAAGGCCTGTCATGAACTCGGGTGGTTCAGGCACGAGGACGAGGCATGGTGCAGGCAGGGAAGAGAATGTGGATGACCCACTTGCAGCTCAGACGACAAATGGGGATTTATTAAATAGAAAAACACAAACACGAGGGGTCAAAAGTAAACGGGATAAACAAAAAAAGTTAAGGCAACAAGGGGCGGGCAGGTGGGCAGGCAACAAAAGACCTCAAACAACATAAAAAAAAAAAAAAAACATCAATGACTTCAGCAAGAACAGAACTGGATCAGGAACTTAAATACAAAAACTAATCAGGGTAACGACACAAAAGGAGTGAGACATAGACAATTAACCAATCCGGGAGGGGCAGGGCAACGAGCAATCAGGTAAACACACAAGGGCAGGCACAAAAACAGGCAACAGCTGAAACTAATAATTAAACTCAGGGAGCTCTAACAATGAAACTAAGAAACAGAATCTACACTAAGGGAATAACAGACAGGTAAAAACACAAGCATGGACACAAAACATGAAACCAGAACTAAATACAAAAGACAAAGGAACAAGAAAACTCATACAAATGAAACACTAGGGAACAAAATACAAAAATAGAGGCAGGATTCAAACACAAGACAGAGGGGTGTACAGGCAACCATATGCTCAATGAGTTGAGCTATGCAGCTGACAGGTAATAGGGGAAAACACAAAGACTGACAACACGAGGGACAGGATGACCAGCAATGCCTGCTGGCCAAATGGGGAAGGGACACAGAGTGGGACAACAGGAGCTGACCCTGACAAGGCCATTCTTTGTAGCTGTGCCATTAGGTCCTGTTAGTGCTGCACTAATTTGAATCACAGTGTTTCTACAATAAAGAAGGAGGTGAACAATAGAAACAGATTCAACAGAATAAATCAAACCAACTGCCTGACTAATACTGGCTAATTAAAACCAAGCCAGGGCATTTGAAGCCATTCCTTGGGGAGAAGACTCTGTCTACAAAACCATAGAGTGTTTTGTTTCAATTTCTTGACACATGGGGAGGTGTCAGGCCGACCCTCATATGCTGCAGAGATGCAGCTTGGGACCTAATCCCAGGAAAATGAGCCCACTTTCTGTCCCTCTCCATCTGCGAGCCCAGGGCATTCATAAGGTCCCACATTATCGTCCTTGGCATTGCTTTCATTTGTTGCCTGACCCTGTCTCAAGCATGGAGCTCTGCCAGTTATAGCAGAGGACACCTTGAAGTGGAGTGGGCTAGATTTTAACTGTATGCAACCCCCTCCCTCCCCTCCTTTTTTCTGGGGTTTCGTTTCAGTCTATATGAGCTCTAATCCCCCTAAAGACTGATGTCCATAACAGTGAGGCATATATCTAAGTGTGTATAGAATAATTTCTGATTACAGCATCGATTCAGAAAATTGAATCATTAGTTTAGTAATTCCATAAACTGCCCGAAGGTCATGATTGTAGTTATTTATTTCAGTAAAATGAGATGCAGATGTACAGCCGCTGTACACAAAACACCCACATATTTATTTAACAATTGATGCATGACTGGCTGAGCACATGTATGCAATCACAGTAACGCAAACAGAAAACACGCTTTCTTATAAGCACACACTGGTTGTGTTTATACTATTATAAGACAGTGGAGAGTAGCTTCACCTCCCAGTTCCTGATAATATGGCCCACATTGCAGGACAGCTCAGGGGCACTTTCTGACGATGAGGAATAGGAGTCATCTATTTGTGTGGGTGTCTGTATAGAGAGAGAGGGGAAAGACGGATAAATATTTATAAATGGAGTAAATGCTTCGGACAACAGTGTAACCAGACTTGGCGAGCTGGAGGCTGGTGTTTCTGAAGCGGGAATGGTCCCGGTTTTATTTGATTTATGTCTTTTATTTGTATATTTGTCTTTGTGGATTTTAGCTTTCTGAAGAGCAGAGTAGCTCACTGTACAACAAGGCAGTGCTCGATTACGGCAGATTTAATAAGTGATAGATGCCGTGCTTTGACACAAAGACAACAGTTCCTCATAGTGCAGATAAAAGCCAAAACATGGCCAAGGAGATCCATGTATGAGAGAAGGAAGCCATCCAGAGGAGACGGCTACTTTTCAGGCTTCAGCATGAACGCACTACACAAATGCATGGCAGGGAACATGAAGAAGTCAGAGATATGGTGTTTTGAAGTCTGTTTGAGGTGGGGGGAGGCAGAGGCTCCAAGGTCTCTGGTGTTAGGAATAATGTTCCTGTGAGGAAGACAAAACCAAAACACAAAACATGTTGCGTGGAGTTCATTCACGTCCAGATTACATTAATGTGTTTGGTTTGAAGTCTTAGGCTTCACCTTCTGTGTGAGTCCCTGACGTAGAAGCGACTCTCTAACCTCAGCAGGATTCCACTAAGGGAATAAAAGTAACCCGGAAGAGAGGGATGTATAAATTAGGTGGAGTGGCAGGAAATTAAAGAGGTCACAGGATGTGTCTGCATAAGGCTTCTGCTTAACAGACCAGCAAGTGGCCCCCTGATGTGGGAAGTGCAGCTCTGAGCTGCAATCACCCGCATGGTTTCTCCAGTGTGATTCAAGTAATTTCCACGGCATGTTTATCTCCTGTCCACGGTAAAGTCCAACATGCCAAATGGGAACATTCCAAGGCTTTGAACAGATGGGGCCCAATCCAAGCACCAACATGTAACAGGATTCAGACTGCTCTGTGTCAGGATGTGGATTCAGGAAGTGAGCTTTGAATGACTGACTGAGGAAAACGATCCCATCTAATCCAATGCACCATACCTGCTGGCCCCTCATTCCTGAGCTTTCTGAAGGTGACATATAAACTGCTCGTGGTCTGTGTTTCCCATATTTCTCTGTTTAGCTGTACATTATTACCTTCTTGTGTCCATCCATCTTCTATCTGTTTCTCTCGTGGGGGGGCTGGAAGACCAGCTACTTCTCACTGGGAAGCTGGGGGGATGGTAGAGTCTTCATTTTATTATTTCCTCAACAGACCATCATAAGCAGTTGTACTGCAAAATAGATTTAGCAGATATCAATTATCAGCTAAATTATTTACAGTTTCTGTAAGTTATGAACATCGCTATGAATTTTCAGAGTAAAAAGTTGGATGAATTGTGTGCATATCACACATCCCCTACTTTCTAGCGAATCCCAGCTGGTAACAGCACCTTCTAGTGGCTGTGCGCTTATAAAGTCAGAGTTTTTAAAAGGACGCCGCACAAGTCTCTTAAAGAATTAATACTACTGTGCTTAAAATCAAACTGTGTCACATACGGAGCATGAAATAGGTCAGATCTGCTATATGCAATTTTCCGTTTACTTAAGTATATGAACGCCTTTTATCAATTTAAATGATCGACTGTCTGCTTCGGCATTAGAAACGGGGTCTTGCATAACAGACACCACGAACTGATGTGAAATGAAAAGCCGCACTTACTGTAAGAAGGCGCCACAAAAGGACTACGGCCTCACTGACACGTAAAAACGGATGAATTTATAGTGCACCGAGCGCCTGGCGCGCACAACGAAATGTACTAGCAATGTGCATACACACATGCATACATACATACATACATACATAGTAATCAATATAGTATTGAATAAATGTAGAAACTATAAACATTAGAAATATATATTTCACCGAGACAATATTATAAATAAGCCTGTCACATATCGGACTGCTGATGTAAGTAGCCATATAAACATAAAGTGCATAGGCGATATATGAATGTATTGCACTGCAGTTTATTGAGAAACTCAAAATGCAGTAATAGTGCAGAGGGGTCAGTCAGTCCAGCAATATTCATTTTTAAATTGTCGGTGGAGGTGAGGTAGTGTGCCACACAAAGGTTGCTCTACTTATGTCCACCTTTCATTCTCAGACCACAACAGAAAATTGAAAGATATACGAGCCGTTTCGCTGTAGTGTGCTCGAATAACTTGCGCAGTGCGTGGGAAATGATTAATATCGTTTGTATGTAATTTGTTGTGAAAATATGAAGATGCCTAAACATCCCATTTAGGACGCTGCGCACATTAATGTCTTGGCCAAGATTTAAAAACAGCTACTTTTTTAAGGGTCATGCCTAAGGAAGCGTGTTTTCTGCGTTTCTTTATGCAATATAATAAGCAGGATATCATGCTTAAAACGATCCTCAACAGCCAAAGTGAGACTATATTGTTGCCTTTTCCCGTAAGAGTTTATAAAGATCTAAGCTGGTGTCATCAGCAGATGTAGTTGCTTCGCCGTCATCTAACAGCAGCATGTAAAACATACCGATCGTCCGTGTGTTAAAACGGCTTCCCTGGTTTCTCACAGCGAACAACCCTCGGCATCACGTCTAACCTCCAAACGTATATGAACGATCCCACAGCGAGGGGATGGAGGGGGGGCTGGAAGTGAGCCAGGACCCGCCCTGGAGCCGCCACCTTACGAGGAGGACAAGTGCGCCTCCCTGCACCCATGCTTGGTGTATTCATCTGGCAGGTTTTAAAAAGGCAAGCCTACTCTGGAGAGGATCAGACTGTCTGCAAAACTTATCCAGAGGGGACTGTGTCATCAACCGGGAGCTGCTTACAGAGCGGCAGGGACATCAGCTCTGATAACCCAGCAGAAACGCTAAAGGACATTATCGCGTGCGAGTTATCTCTCCGTTGCATTGAGTAATCAGCCCAGCTGGGTGAATCTACCAGGTGGACAGCCGGTGCTGTTGGATGCCGTATCTCTCACAGAAACTCCAGCTCTGATTCCCGGAGATAGCTCGGCCAGCAGTCTTCTTCTCAGTCCTTTGATCTACTAATAGGCTACAGCGGAACATTTCATTTCCTTTCTTTTTGCCGAAGGACATCATGACAGTCGGGTTTTGTCTGCTGCTGGCTTTCCTATCAGCACTATCTCGGTGCCTGGGCTCATACGTGCCCTGTGAGCCGTGCGACCCGAAGGCGCTGTCCATGTGCCCCCCGGTGCCGCTGGGCTGCCAGCTCGTCAAGGAACCGGGCTGCGGCTGCTGCCTGACCTGCGCCCTCGCGGAGGGACAGGCTTGCGGCGTCTACACCGGGACGTGTGCCCATGGGCTGCGCTGCCTGCCCCGCAGCGGCGAGGAGAAGCCGCTACACGCCCTGCTACACGGCAGGGGACTGTGCACCAACGAGAAGGGATACAAGCCTATAGGTGGGTGCGGAGCAGGGGGTCTGTGCGCCAACGAGAAGGGAGACAACCCCGTAGGTGGGTGCGGAGCGAGAGGTTTGGGTGCTGCTTGAGGTTAAATGCGCAAACTCAAAATGAGCCGCTGCGATTGCACTTATTCGGGGAGCAGGTTCACCCCAGACAGCCGCTCTTCAGGGTATTTTACATGCCCGCCTTTTGCAAATGTAGGCTACTTTGCATGTGTCTTTTTTGCGGAAATTCGTGCAGTGACGATTCTTTTCCCACTGAATTTCCTCCCGTAAAATTTATCAACGATTTCCCTCCAAGCCCCAATTGGTTGAAAAATGAGATCGAATTAACGAATTGACAGCGATTTTAAGGAAAAATGGACGCATAATGAACATATAACCCAGAGTTTTGGGTCCCGCAGATTCGCGAAGCAACAAACGGGAGAATTGCGAGGTATAAAACTGTTTAAAGACGGGATAGTATAGCTGTGTGGTCAGCGTATAAAGATGTGCAGCACAGGGCATACAGACCAAGATGTAAAGCTGTGTAGACTGTCTAAAGGTGTGTAGACGGTGGACCGATGAGCATGGCATAAAGCGGACGCTGTCCGTACTGCTCACAGTAGCACCGCTCTGCAATTGTCTACTCAGGTTTACCGAATTTCCTCACGATACACACACACCAGGCATCCAGATGTTGCCGGCCTTTTGTGAGACTTAGAGACTGTAGATTTTGTCACAGTCAGGGATCGTGATGTGAAAACCATCGTGCGTCTCCCTTTCATACCAGCGTTGTCTTAGGGAAACGAGAGAGACAAATTGGTGAACTGTGATTGCGGTTTCCTTTTTTAAAAATAAAAATAAATAAATAAAAATAAAAAATGACACTATCTTCCCCACCTGTTAACTGGCTTAATTTCTCGGAGACTGGCATTACTGGGATTAGGTTCGGCAGCTGCCCTGTACACAACAGTCTGTATTTCGCAGCTGGATACTTTTCAGTGCTTTTTAGTGGCATATCAAAGGTGTCCTTTTGGGAGTAAGATTATCGGTTTGGAGGTTGTGTGTGGGGGTATAGGGGGTAAGAGGACTGTCAAATTAAAAAGCATAAATGGTACTGTGTAAGTAGGCTACATGTAAAGATCTGATCATGTGACAAGTGTCTTTTTTCCTCATTATTTCCAAATGAATACATGTGTGTATGTGCTTTTTTCCCACTGGGATTACTGCCTGATTTATATCCTTTACATGTTACTATAGTTAGAGTAGTTAGTTGAATGGTTATCAGGCCCAAACAGGCCACTTGCTGAAGATTCCTGCCCCCTCCCCCCCATGGGTAGGAGTGGGGTGGGTCCATAATGTGAGACCAGTGTTTCACGTGCACTGTGGTGTGTGCAATTGAGGTTGTGGGAAGGGTTGCTTCCCACCTGCGGGGCACAGACAACTGCGCACAGCTGCATGTCACGCCGGGGCCCCCCACACCAAGCCGCTGCCAGCGCTGGTACCTCCACGGTAACCCCCCTGGTAAGGGAGTATTCTGGTCTAAGGCACCCCCTGTTGCCAGATTGGTGGGCACAGAGTCGTGCTATAGTGACTCAACAGAATAGCTCTGCAGGTCTTCTGTGAAGAGCTGTCCATCAGGCCATGGGTGAATTTAGATCAGTGCCTCTCATTTCCTGTGGGCTACTGTTTCAACCCAGATGTACCAGCTGCATGAAGAAAGACAGGGCATAGTCAGCCATGAGCTTCAGGGTGGGGGGATGGGTAACCAGGTCAGGATTAAGATAGACCCAGTCCAGGTGTTTTTCAGAATTTATTCAAGATGGTGGCAGAAACAGACAGAAGGAGCCCAACACGTCAGGAAACCTCAGCAAATCAGGAAAGATTGCTTTACATGCCTTCTCCTTGCCTGCTTGCTTCCTGTCTGCCATCTCGGATTATGATCTGAAGTTGCAGCTGTGCGGCAGCTCACCCCTCTTCTCTCAGCACCAACAGTGACTGTGCGCTGGCTCCAGGGAACTCTGTAGACATGTCTATGACATGTCTGATGTCTTTTTCCTGTAGACACCTGGGCCTATATTCACAAAGTATCTTAAAGCTAAAAGTAGCTCTTAAGTTGCCTATTTAGGAGAAACTCCTAAATAGGCAGTTCTAAATTTGAGACTTTTTTTTGACTAAGAGCAATTTAAAAAGCCCCTTAGAGCTAAAAGTAAAACCTAAGTTTGGGAGAACTAAAAAGTAGTCAAGAGAACTCTTAAATCACTAAGACCAATTCATAAACAGTCGCAAAATGGCTGCTGTTAATCCACGTTGCAATGTCTTGGCAACATTAAACGAATGCTGAATTACTTAAAGGATACTGCTTCAGTCAGGAGGGATTGTTGTGGAGCTTGTGAGGGATGCAATAACATCTCCAAGAAACCGAACCAACCTAATAATATACAGTGGAAACCGCTTATAGTGATCACATCTCTCTGGGTGAAATTGATCTCTATAAGTGGATGATCTGTATAACCATTTTTTTTCTTTTTCTTTATGTCTCAAGCTGAAAAATAGGAAATAAAATAGACAGCGTCGCTATGTACTGAATTTTATCGACTGAATTTTAATACAATACAGCTGTTTTAAACCCTTTTCAAGCTGAACTTTTCATTACTGAACAATGTATAATTCAAATATGCTATAATACATTATTGTACATAAAATATATGTTATTGTGGTTTCGCTGCTGCATCTCTTTGGCTTGGTTTTGGCAGTTTATCATAAGCTTTGCTGAGTCTATATTAGTCATTGAGAGAAAATTACTTTCTTTTTCCCGTCATGTTTTATATGAACGCAGCATTAGCCCCAGGTAGCTAACTAGAAGCAGACGGGTTACCGCAAGGCAAAGTAGGGTGATCAAAATAAAGTAAAAAAAAAAAAACATAGTTTTAATTTTTCCCACATGTTCTCATGTTTCAAAAGACCAAAAATGATCACTGTAACAGATTACTTGGTTACTATAAGCAAATTATTTAAGCAGTATTTGTACAGGAATGATTCTGTCCCAAGCTTTTTGATCCATATAAGTGGATCATATAAACGGGATGTTGCGAGAACCCCATGGTTATTGCAGGCAAGCTCGTGCATGAGAACTGACGTCATCCATAGTGACAGAGTCTTACTCTTAGCTTAGGAATTGGCTCTTTTCCTAACTAAAAGTTGCTCTCAGCCACATCGTGAATAGATTTTGGGAAAAAGCTCTTAGTTAAAAATTTTTAGTGTGATAAAGGAGTGCTCTTAGTGGTAAGATAAAATGCTTTGCAAATACAGGCCCTGGGAAAGGATGTTCTGGGAGGGCACTCGGGAGGCCAAACCTGCTATCAGTGATTGGTCTGAAGGCCCTTTCTTGTGCCTACAAACAGCTTGAGCAGTGGCATCAAAGCTGCAGTTCGGCTTGTCACGGAGAAGAGTGCCTCATGTTTTCACCTGTCACATCATATCCGATAGAGAGAAGTAGGTCTGGAGATGCCCTACCTATATGGGGGAATGCAGTAAACACAGTTGCAAATGGGATGTGTGCCTGCTTGGACACCCAGGGCATCGCGGGTAATGGCTCACATCGCAGCACGCTCTCAGCACGGAGCGCCTGCCTGCTGCTGAGCTTTGAGTGGGCTCACAGATGGTCACCTTGGCGCTTCTGCCAGCTCCGGATATCAGCAGGTGCATGGCGTACCACTGGGCCAAGGAAATGCATTGTGGGAGAAACCACAGTGGTTGTTCAGCGAGGATTCTGAAGTGCAGCTGTCTCCCTGGTCAGGACCAAGCAGGGTGAATCTGCACTCCACTACTCTGATTTAGCTCTGGCCGCTTTTTCCATTGCAAGTTTGACCTGGGTAGGAGATCTAGGAGTAGATCTGGGATGGACCTGTTGGAGGTCCCAGTAGAGGCAGTCTCTGTGAGGGATATGAAAAGCCAAAAAGAATTTTTATGAGCATCTGATGGTCCAAACAATTGATACCATGAAGGGAGTTCGTTTTGAGCTCTGCACCCCACCACACTGAGCTGGAGAGCCAGCCTGGTCGGCATCCCTTACAACCTTTTTCCCAAAAGACATGGACTGCCAGCTCCAGGTGGCAGTAATGAGCAGAGAGCCAGTCGGACTTTGGTTACCTGGGGAGCTAAAAGCATATGGAAGTAGGGCTTAAGGTAGGAAAGATGAGCCTGATCCGGGGCGCCTGCAGGCGGCCCCCATGCTATGCCTGTGAACCGCATAGTCCAGGGCTGTCCAACAGGCACTGTGCGCTGAGGGCCCAGAGCCAGGGACAGCACTGTGGTATGTGGTTTTCACAACACTGAGGCCAGTGTTTGCTTGATGCTGGCATGCAGATTTTTTCTCAGGATGCTTTACTGTTGCAAAAGAAATGCCAATCAATCAAGCAATGACTTTATGAGAGCACTCTGCTGGTGAGGAAAGGGGTGTTCCTACTTTAGAGGTCCAGAGCAGTGTGGAGGAGATGGTCAGGACCTGCTCACAGCTGAGGTTGGTGGCAATTTATCTAGTAGAGCTTCCTGCCTACTCACGTCAGGAAGTCCTAGTGTTTGACATTTAAAATCCTTCATGGGCTGGTAGAGTTCTAAGTCATGTACAGCTGGAACACTCCATAAACATCATCAGCTCACTGTTTGGAAATCCGTGCTGTGCCTCCGCCCCAGTGTGCCTCTCGGTGTGAGTGAAGTGTGAAGCTTTTAAGCCATGCATCCCTTGGGTGAGGGAGGGGCCAGGGGGCGTAAACGAGTGCTGTGCATGCTCTAGGACATGCCGAGCATAGCTTCTCACACCATGGTAATGCTAGATATGCATTTTTGCCAAAAGTTGTATCTGGTGATGCTGAAACCAAACCGTCTGAGGGGTTTGCAGTGTGGCTCAGATGTCGATGGCCATCGGAGCAGTTTTTACGGCTGCTGTACGAAAGATCCGGCACAGATTACAAAAAGGAGGCTGGATCAGTTTTCTTGACCCGGCTTAGGAAGTAAGGAACTTTAAGATATTCATGAAGTTTAATTGCCCAGCGTGAGAGTTAATATTTAAAGAGGGGATCAGGTACGCTTCTCCTCCACCATCCAGCAATGGCTTGATGGAAACTTCAGAAGGAGCAGAAGACGTGGGTATGCACTGACTCACACCTAGGCACTGACACACACGTAGGTACCAACATATGCAAAGGCACTGACATGGGTAGGCATTGATTCACACATAGGCACTGACACACATGTAGGCACTGACACATGCATAGGCACTGATTCACATATAGGCACTGACCCATACACACATGCCGACACTGACACACACACACTCCCATATTGACACATATCCTTGCACTGATACACACACGCGCGCACACCCGTACTGACCCACACACACTCCCAGCCTGACGTACATGCCTGCACTGACCCTCACACACTCCCAGATTGACACATACACCCACACTGACACACGCATGAAGCCCACAGCACCTTCCCCTGAATGCTCAGGGTCCTGCCTGCAGCGGAGCGGCATGTCGGGCCTGTAGCACTTGTTATTTATAACATCAGGGCTGTGCTGCATGACGCGGTGACCCAGACGGCAGAAGGGGACAAAGTCATGCGACGCCGGATTCATTTCAAAGTCCAGCCCCCCGCCCCCCGTAGACGCACTTGTAGAGACAGTTCACAGAGTCACCCGCGTCCCTCATTCTGCTAAATCAGCAGCTGCCCAGCCCCACTGTCTCTGATGTCCTCCTTCACCTGGATAAAGTTACCTTCCAGTCTGGGACCTACCGGAACCTGCCGTTGCCATGGCGTCATACTTCTGTGCCGTCACAGGGCTGAGAGCTGTTAGATATCTCTGTAGGAGGTCAGGCTTGCACTAGAAGACCAAACAATGAATTTATGTTCCATTTTTCCTCTTTTTCTTGGTAATTTAGTCTGTTGGTAGTTCTGTATTATTGTTTTTATAGTATATAAAAAATCATTAGAAAGAACCCCCTCCCCCCCTTCCAAATGACAGAGAGAATGTGAGTCTGTGTACAGTATAGGTTTGTAAATGATGGCAGATTGTTTGGGTTTCAAAGCTGTTAAGGATAAATAAATGCCAAGGCACCCCCTGCTGGTGAGAAATGCCCTCCATTTACACCAGAGGGTGTCCTGCCCCTCCATGTGTCAGCATGCTAATTAACTTAATTGGATTAGTATTTCTACCAGTTCTAATGCCTCGTTTTGTAGGACAGTCAAACAGGTATTTGATTTTTTATTGAAGTGTACTTACCCTGATACTAAATCCTAATACTAGAAAAAGATTCTTCACACTCGTTTGCTGTGTATACTCAGATATGCATAGCTGTGAGTATGGTGACACAGGCTGTGTCCGACTCCTCCCCGCAGACCACGAGTCACGTGAGCATGAGAACACGGGCCATGCTGAAGCACCGGAGAACTCATACCTCCTTGCAAAGATGCCACTGCTCCCTAAAGACCACATGACCAGAAAGAAGGCACAGGCCGTGCAGAATGACCGCAAGCGGCAGCAGGGCAAGTCACGGTCGGTGGGGCACGCGGACTACTCCCTGCTGGGTGGCGACAAGCTTGTGAGTGAGCTGGTAAGTGCTGGCCAGGCTGCGTGGAAGTGAGGGGGCGTGGCCCACTGCCCACACCCTGCAGAGTGATGAGGCCTGTCCCCATTCTGCTCCTCAGGGCCCCTGCAGGAGGAAACTGGATGGGATCATCCAGAGGATGAAGGACACATCACAAGTGATGGCCCTATCCCTATACCTCCCGAACTGCGACAAAAAGGGCTTCTTTAAGCGCAAGCAGGTATGCACCCATGCATTGCACGCTACATACTACAGCATGCTGTCGTTAAGGCTGCGATCAAGGGCTGGAGTGCAAGGATCTGAACCAAGCAACTCCATTACCCATCAGGATGTTCTATCACTCTCCCCATAAGGCGGCTCTGTTACCCATCAGGCCATACGACCGCTCTTCCCATTCTCATGTGACTGCAAGTACAATGATTTGACCTCCAAATCATAGCAATCCTTCACACAAAGCAATCCTGTGTAGTTTTTGGCTACAGAAACAGGTGTGGATCCTGCTCCAGTGAAATAACCGTCCATCAGTTAGTGTGTTTACTGGTCTTGTATATTTTTGTATTGACAGTCATGCGATATTCCCTTTGAAACATACATTTTGCAATCTTTTGAGTAGCGCTGGGCGGTATACCCATTCATCCGGTATACTCATTATAATTTCCTGTATGGTATGAATTATTAATACACCACCATACTGTAGCATAGCTGAAATGATAGCTGTGATTCTGTGTATAATATATAAAAATATTTTGAAATAATGAAATAGTTAATCATGAGTCAAGTGCTGGGTATGTCGTTTACGACATAGTATTAATATTTATAAATGTTTGTGTTTGGAAAGTTGCAGTGACATGCATAATTTTATTTTGAAAAGATAATGGATTAGCCACAGTATACCAGCCATTATTTGGACTGCTGAACATGTTATGTTTTATTACTTTTTAAATTTATTTTTAATTCTTAATTTATTTTTTGCAGAGTGTATATCACTCACATTGTTTTACATGCAAACAATGGACTGGTCTAAGATGGCACCACACTCATCGCCCCTTGGCCTGTAGCTGGAGACTTGCTTGTCATGTCTAGTAAATATATATCTTTGTCTCATCCTATAAAGCGGCCCCTTATCCCATCAGGGCATGTGATCGTTCTCTCCATAAAGTGACCCCATTTTGTGATAGTTCTCTCCATAAAACCGGTACCCATCATTCCATGCAATCACTCTCCCCCTAAAGCTGCTTTATTTCTTATTAGGCCATTAGATTGTTCTCCCAATAAAGCGGCTCCATTACCTATTAGACCATGCAATCACTCTCCCCCTAAAGCAGCTCCATTTCCTATCAGGCTGTGAGATCGCTCTCCCTGTAAAGTGGCTCCATTTCCCATCAGGCCGTGCGATGCGATCCCTCTCTCTGTAAAGTGACTTTGTTACCTATTAGACCATGTGATCACTCTCTCTGTAAAGCGGCTCCATTACCTATTAGACCGTGTGATCGCTCTCCGCATAAAACGGCTTCATTTCCCATTAAGCTGTCTGATCACTCTCCCCATGAAGCGGCTGCGTGTCCCATTAGGCTATGTGATCGCTCTCCCAGTAAAGCGGTTCTGTTTCCCATCAGGTTGTGCTACCTCTCATGGGTGCTCCATGCCCATCAGCATTTCACTAACCCCTTCCTTCCCCCACAGTGTAAGCCTTCCCGTGGACGCAAGCGAGGGATCTGCTGGTGTGTCGACAAGTACGGGGCGCAGCTGCCCGGCACAGACTACAACGGGGGCGATGTGCAGTGCAAGGATCTAGAAAACACCGGAAACACCAATGAGTGAGGATTCCCGGCCCCGCCCAGCACAATCACTGCCCCTTCCCCACCTTGTCTTGCTCCGCCCCCTCCTCCCATGCAACACTTTGACATTTGAGATGCAAGAGAGACAAGGAGAGCAAGAATGAAAATGAAAAACGAGCGCCGGCATGGAATGCCAGCTGGGTGGCTCCCCGACTCTCACTGCTGGATGCGGGTCCGTACAAACAATTTGTCGAAATATGTAGAAATATTCATTTATTTTTATAGCAGCTGGGGTTTCAGCACCGGACTTTTTCTTTGCAAACTAAGCTAACAGAACACAAGGCACTAAGAGATAATGTCTGTCTGTCTCACTGATGATACCGTTATGTTTGAGATCATAGCAGTTCTGTACATAAGAATGATTTGTTATCTCAACACACACACATGCACACACGCAAGCAGATACATACTGACTCACGCATACAGTACAGATACAGTTCTTACTCTCTCATGTCTGATCGTCACTTGGTTGCTTTGCAGGAAACCTCATTTTCAGGATAACGCTTGATGAGACCGTTCAGGTCTGCAAATGCTGGGGTGTGGGTGCAGGGGCCGTGGCTGTGTGAGCTTGAGGGCACCCTACTCTTAGTGATGTGGGAGGGGGGGGTTTATGTGCAGGCACCAGTTGTGCTTCCTGTTACACTTACACCCCTGTAACTGATTTGCATCCTTTGTTTTACAAGTTTCCACTCCTGCAAACCCTACATTCAAATTGGTGGCTTGGAGAGGCCCTGCTCTTGCTCTCGCTCATAGCACTTACTGGGGTGGATTTCAGCACAAATAAATAAATAAGAAGATCTGCATTATTCCTGCCATCTTGCCACAAGATGGCACTGTGTCGGGCCCTCTACCTGCTCCCCACCTGTTCCTGAACTTTTCCACGACATGGCCCTGTGTGGGGCCCTCTGTCTGCTCTCCATGTGTTCCTGCCTTTTTGCCACAAGATGGCACTGTGCAGGGCCTTCTGTCCACTCTCCACATGTTCCTGCCACTTTGCCACTTGATGGCATTGTGCTGGACCCTTTGCCTGCTCTCTGCATGTTCCTGCCACTTTGCCACAAGATGGCACTGTGCTGGACCCTCTTCCCACTCTCCACATGTTCCTCCACTGCGAGGTTCACCTGCATACCAGCAAACCCCTGTTGGGCCTTTGGTGCTGTCCCATATGTAAATTTCAGTGCCTTCCCTACACACAAAAACATTTCAATGTGAATTTGCATAGAAAATGAGGATTTAAAATTTAAACAAAAAAATAAATGAAAATAGTGATGCTAAACCATTACCTGCAGCTGTGTGGAGAGATGTGAGTTTTCCCCTCATGGAAGCACATTGCCGTCAGTGACAGCAGTGATGAACCTTCAAGGTTTGAGAAACATTACCAGCAGAAATGCCCCCGCCCCCTCAGCACTCAAGCCACCCCCATGCTCTTGGTTACATATTTTATTTAGCTTTTCAACTCCCTTCTCTGTAAAAGGAATCTTCCCTGTTTGTGTCTAATCAACCACAAGATGTGAACGCTACTATAAAGTACTGTGTTTCCAAAGTAGCCCAAAATCCAGAATTGTGACAGGCCTCAGGGGGTCTACGCAGGATATATTATTGGGTTACAGTGAATGAGCAGGAAAAGGTCAGATTCTGCAATGGAAATACACCACCTCATTTTCTCAGCCCACTGACAGAAGCTAGCTCGTAAATGATTTAATATAACTATATTCAAAACGGGCTTTGATTAGCATGGCACAGACACATGCAGTACCTGGAACAGGCCGTGACTTGGGGACAGCTCCAAAGGTCTCCCCTGTGACAGAGAGTCATCTCTAAGGCCAGGAGGCCCTACCCAGGCACATCACACATATGATTTAAATACTACTATCATAGACACACAAAGGAGCGACTGGAAGCTGGGAGCCAGGGACTGCTAGGCGGGGACCAAACTGCAATCTGAGACACCTCACTCAGACCCCCGCTCGCTCACTCTCTCTTTCTCACTGGACATGACATCCGACGTACCTCCAAGGCTGAGCTATCTATTGGGCCTTGATTTAAGCTCCTATAGCTGTAACAAACTAGTGGAGACATCCTGAAAATGTGTCCCTATTAACCAAGGAAAATGCTCTGGTCCTGAACTGTGTGACCTATTCCATTTTTACTGACGGGAGAAGGGGACAAAGGACAGAAAGTCAACTTTCATGTAAAAATCCCATCTTGGTACAAATCAGATTCAAAAAGGAAATATCAGGTAACCTCATTTGCACTTTCTGCCCTGTCAAATGTCATGTCAAAACCGAACCTCAAAGTTGCACCATTATATTCTCCATATTGCAGTCCTTGTTATCTGGCTCATTCTGAGCGTTCCACCTTGTTATGTTAGTGCAATGTTCACAACTTTTACTATAGCAGTACAATCTCAGTACAGCAGTGAAGAACTGCTTGTTATATCAGCACCGGACGTAAACTCTGTGGAAATAAAAAAATCACGACCATGATAAAATCCAGCTTTTGGAAACTTCTAATAAACTATTATGGAAAAAATCTAATTATTAAGAAAGTGAATATCACTGTGTAATATTTATTCATTTAACTCATAATTTATGTACTCTCAATCTTTGTCTTTTTTCTATGACAAAGCATTTATTTAAATAAAGTTATGTATTCATTTACTGGTTGTTTTATCTTGTGTCCTTTTTGAACACTGTCAGGGGGTTCATTGACATAAGAACATAAGAAATTTACAAACGAGAGGAGGCCATTCGGCCCATCAAACTCGTTTGGGGAGAACTTAACTAATAGCTCAGAGTTGTTAAA